GGGTGAGTCTATAATTTCTTTTCAGATCTTTTCGGATTGTACTTGTAACCTATCCTTTTTGGAATCAATTCATTTCCAAATTTAGATTTGATGCATCACGGAGGGATGGATATCATGAGCCTTTCAAGTTGAAGTGTTGAAAATACTTCCACGTGACTGCAGCAAGGCAAGGTTCGAGGGATGCCTGCGTCACCCATCGTGCGCCGAAGGACGAGATGGCGAGCAGTGGGGCTGACAGAATGCGTGTGCCTCATAGAACGAATCGCTCAGTCCACCCCATTCACAAGTATGCGCCATGCTTCTTCGTGGGTTGCGAAGTTCCTTAGAATCGGAATTTCGCGGTTGTCCTTAGCCGTGCGCCAACATCGACCTTATGGCTCATAGACGGCCTTGGTCGTGTTAAATACCCTTGAAATGTCCGCATGAAAATCATCTCACGTTGGAGGCGGAATAGCATCGGCTCCAAGCTCGAGCCGTAGTCGTCGACCACGACATAGGGCTGCTGTACAGTCCAGTACGTGTACACTAGCACCAGCACGTGGGCCATATAAGGCAAGGCATTCCTGGAGGATGGTCAGCTATTTGAAGATAATTCAACTTAAGCTCATCTGGTCCTTGCCTGCCACCTGAGGATTCGAGGGCGACGTAGCGTACTGCTCTCTGCAAAGACTTGACCTCCAGCAAGCCCATGCTGCCCATTGTAATCGGCTAAGTTCCGGGACCAACGGTGACTGTGCATGTGGCGAGCGAAATGTATGGCTGCTGCATCCTTGGGCTACCCTCATCTGTGTGCATGCATGCGTTGTAACTTTTTCATCCGAGGTAAGCCGCATCCCGTCGTGAAGACGATGCCGACGAAAAAGGTGCAACCGTGACAATTCCATCCAGTTCGATCTCATGGCAGCGCACGCCGCCAATGTGGACAGCAGCGGTAAAGGATATTACTGGTAGAGACTATGATATTTGGCAAGTCCTCCTTCAAACCCCGCGAATACCCTCCGACCTCACTTTGAATGTCACACTTGAAGTTGCGGGAGTCCCGTGACGTCGCCTCAACGTGCGATGTCACGCCCCAGTGGCGTTATCAAGACACGTCCTCGAGTCGCCGCGATAATCGTCACCTCCATTGCTTGACGCTGATGTGCTGCACCACCCAAACGCTTCGGTGAACAGTAAGCCCGATATGCACTCTGATTGGGCTGACATGCCATCGCCATCGAACGTACGGGGGAGTTGCGCTGTGCCTTTCACGGCATCTAGAGCAGCGTTGGGACGAAAGGAGCCACAAGTTGCCGAGATTGCACATACAACCATGGCGAAGACGACCAAGTGCAGCTGCGATCGCTTCGCAGGATGGGTGAAGGCATCTTCGGTTGTGCCTCCTTCACGAGCGACAGTTTTTTTTTTCGTAACCTGACCCGCCTTGACATGAACCTACGTAAAATTGGACGAACTCCAATCGCTACATGGTGCCATGAAGCGATTCTCGGCGCGCGTCCCCGTCCGCACTCTCGGCATTTGCACTCTGCAGGCAAGCTGTCGTATGCAGTGCTCACTCTACCGTCGGCATCAACACTCTATCCTCCTTGTAATCACGGAGCGCTGCATGCAACTATGAGGTAGGTCGAGAGGTTCGCCGTCGAGTTCGCAATATGTCACGTTGCGGTCGCATTACGTCGTACAGTCCCAAGCGATGCGAATCTGCAAGACCGTGTTGACAGCTCTGACTTCGCGAGGGGGCGTGGCATGCGCGTACCTCCAACCCAAGACGCGCGCCAGCAGGAAGACGAGGTTATGTCCCCTGTCGATAAAGCTTTAGACTACGTTCAAGTTGCCACACGTGCAGTGATTCGAAAGGAAGCGTCGACGCCTTGGTACATCGCATCGTGCTCGTATCATGTCATGCCGATGTCGGCCGTCGGAAAGGCCATCATGCCATGCGACACTTTGGGTCGCGAAAACTTTCCCGATTGATCGTCTTCGTCGACGCCATTTTCGAGGCCGCACCTGTTCACACAACTTTCGAGTGCTCTGCCCCTCCGACTCGATCGTCGGCATCCCCTCCAATTTGTCGCGGTGGCGGGGGAGGGGTGGGCCGATGAGGAAGTGGGAGGGAGCACACCACCGCACGCCGCCACGGGTCTGACGCGACAAAGGAAGCGTCCGTACAATAACGTCATCCGTGGCAAAGTCCAAGCTAAGCAATCGTGATGAGCCAAGATACTGGAACTCTGAAAAATTCGTGCCAACTTCACCGAGCGCGCGTGCAGTTGCGAAGATCTCTCGCGAGTGATCTTGCGACACGTAGGAAGTCGGAGCCCCCTTGGGTGTTGTGTGCATCGCGACGGTGCACGACGTCTACAACCACGACTCGATGCGCTTCCGACCAACTAGCCTGCTGCGTGCCCCCCGCCCCTACACTGAAAATGCTACCGATATGCCGACTGCCACGCACACGCAAACCCGGTTCAAAACGACTCCAGCACAATGGGACAATGGCGGAGTTGCGGTGGTCTTGTCGCACCTGGACTACATGGCACGCGAGTGCGTACGCCATCTGGCCTTTCTCGCGCTTCGGCGCTGCCCCACACAGCAGTCGCCATCACCTCGTGCTTTGGGGCACTGCACGTCCAGCTGGAATCGCGCAAGTGCACCGTGATCTTGTCGCACGACCGATGTGGGAATTCCGTGGATGAATGGTGCCATTCTTGAATTGGCACCGACACCCACCGCGACATGAAGTACTTTTCCCCGCAGCCGATGCACTCGAGTGCCCCCGCCGTGGATCGAAAACGGGCCTCGTCGACCGCCATGGCCACCGGGACGTGGACCTCATGCGAGCACAAGCGGTTCCTCGCTGCGATCGAACTATATCCTCAAGGCCCGTGGAAAGCGATCGCCAAGTACGTCGGCACCCGGACGCCCCGCCAAGCGCAAACCCACGCCCAAAAGTACCGCGAGAAGCTTCTTCGTCAGGAGATGCGACCACTCGTGCCGACGACATCCGACCACCGGGACAATCCCAACGTGAAGCTGAACGTCGAGACGTTGGATGTCGTCCAGCTGCCATCCCACGAAATCAAAACGGACGTGATCTGCACTGCGCAAGACGTGAGCGAGTGGGACGCTGTGCTCCCGATGGACGACGCGATGGCGTTCCTGGTGGACCTCGTCGACTGCAGCGAATGGCCTTTATGACTCGACTGGACCGAATGCCTCCTCGCCAATGCCTCCTCGCTCCTTCGGCAGCGACGCGGACGGCGTCACCCTGCCGCGTGCGTTTGCCATGATCTATAAACCCCCGTAGTAATTTATCGTGAATTAAACCAGTCACACTTCGATCCTTTCATGGCATCTTGGACGACCGAGCCCCTGGCCCCTGCCGACATGCCGTCGATCGGGCATGTCCGAGAGCCCAACCACACATCACGAGTTCGGCACCGAGTCCCAGGGAAACACAGGTCTGTTTATCAGCACTTTCGATCGGTGTCCGATCGATCGATCGATCCTTCTTCATCATGGACTCGTTGATATGTTCGCCCCATCCTGCCGATACTGCGACGAGCGCATGCTTGCGGTGGATGGCGATAATCTGCCTAATTCAGGCTGTGTCCGACCTCTTCCCCCCCTTCATGCCTCTCGACCTACCGGACGACGTGAGCTCGCCAGTGGTACGGAACGGTGCAGCTGCAGTCTTGGCCATCTCATGAACCATCTTCTTGGAGTCAGCCCATTCTTGTCGTCAGGTGCATGTTCCTTGCGCGGTACACCGCCTTGGTCAGTGCACAAATGGGGTTGCGACATGCGCCACACAGATAAGTTGATTCATCGAGCCGGGACATGCCACACCTGTCATGGGCATCCCGCTTTTGCGACATGCTCAAGGTGAAAGGAGCTGTCGCACTCGACGAAATGTCTTGTTGGATCGGCGAGTCGCCCGGTCGCAACCAACGTGGCCATCGAGCACGCTGCACGGTCAAGCTGACGTCCTTGACACGTTCGTTACATTGCTCCGCGAGTCGTGGGGGCCACAACTGCCGTCCTCCACGTTGGAGAGCCCACACGCGCCGACGCTTGTTCTCTGGCTACAAGTAAGGCCATCGAAAAACGTCAGAAATCACCTTGCTTTGGACGAAGTGGAGTCAGCAATCACCTCATCGAACCCATCGCGCTTCATTGCACAATGCCAACGGTCGCATCGATGCCCGATTGAAGGTGAGTTTTGTCACTGGGTGCACGAAGGCCAGATTCACGAATTCAGTGGCTGGGTTAGGTACGCTGCCCCCTGCACCACCTGCCTGCGCTCGCCAACTGTGGTCGCGACTTGCGGCCAACGGGAGATAGTTGCAAGGACGTGTGGCCTTTCCGAATCGACATGGGCGCATTTACTCTGCAAACCCAAATGCCCGGCAATCGCCGCCGTCGAATGGACAAGTGTGGCCGAGAAGCATTTCGAGTTACATCGAGAGTCACCAATCGAGGATGTCTGGCACAGACGGAAGCACTTTTTGTGGCACAAGGGGATCCCATCGCCTCGTACAGTGGCGTATCATCCAAAACGACGGCACACGAAAGCATCAGTGATTCCACGGCGGCACGTCTAGGGGGATGGCCGCGATCGGGTTCGAGTTCAGGTCGCGCTAGACTCCGTTGAGCGCCAGTCGCCACGGCCCCTCCTTGAGTCGATTTGCACTCAGGCCGACGTTCACCAAGGCACCTTGCCCAGGACGACCGTGGCCCACGGTCCTTTCGATCGGTAGGTCCGTGTTCCAGTTACCGTGTAAGTCAAGGGTCAGCAAGTTGCGACTCAGTCCAACCAGAGCGGTGAAAAGGGTGGAAAGCTGGAGCTGGGGCTGCGTGAGCGACTTGCTCTCTGCCCACGCAGCAATGAATTCGACCGGGATGTCTGCGATGTGCCTTTGCTGAATGCGCAAGTACGCCAGGGACGACGGTACGTGGAGGAGAACTGCCGGAACTTGGCTTAAGTCGCTGCCACGAATTGCAGCCCTCTCCTTTTCGGAGGGAATGCAGTTGTCGAGTTGGCATGCACGGGCCAGTCCGTCATGTTGCTGAAGTATATCACTATGCCGTACAGCCACGGCTGGTGCGCCAACATCTCTATCGCTACTCCATGCGTCAAAAAACATTGCCGATTATCGATGAAGAGCACATCGTGGCCAAGGAGGCTTGGGTGGAGCAGGTCGTCGACCGAGTCGCCCGAGATGCCACAGTTGGTGAATTGGATCTCGACGTACGTGTAGTGGCAGGAAGTCGAACCACGGCGCCGTGCCCAGAACACACGTGGCGGGGCACGGCGACCGGAAGAAGGTCGCGGCGGTGGCGTGGTACAGCTGGTCAGTCCCCATATCGTGCGCGCCATGACGATAGGCGACATGGTTTTTGTGGTCCAATCACGTTGAGAGACATCGAATAGGCAGATGACTTTTAGCCAATCAAATTCAATCCGTTTTTGGTGTGCGGAGCACAAAAAGATTGGCAAAAATGTCGAAATTCTTTCGACAAAATCGAGTTGATCCAAGAAGTCCACGAAAATAGCGCGAAAAAATGATAGTCCACTTCACCCACTTTTCATAAAATGACGATGAATTTGAGTGCTTTTCATTTGGAAACTTGCCACCGACACCTTTGGACCACCCTCGAGCTGCCAGGACGGCAGAACAGTCGTTCATCTTCCCTAAAAGCATAGGACGCGCGAATACACTCACCCAGGTCGAGTTAGGCCCAAATTCTTGCATTTATAACCGCTGGGTGGGCTCTGGCGCAAATGGGTAGATATCGGACGCCCACGCACCGTCGTTCGCAATTACCTGGCCAACATGAGTTCTTATGGGACAGTTAAGTCCTCTGGTAGACCCAGCAAACATACGCCAACAGCTAGAAGATTGTTGTTTCGGGAAGCTGCGAAAGGTAAATTGTCTTTCAGCAAGCTCAAAGCCTCCCATGACCTCCCGATATCCCTCCGACATGTCCAGGCTCTCCTCCATGGCCAACCGAAGTTTCAACTCAAGAAACGTCTTAGTCAACTACCTCTTACGAAGTTCCACCGTGAAACAAGACTCCAGTTTGCTTCTCAAGCCATCAAGAATCAACAAGATTGGGATTCTGTCATGTTCTCAGATGAAAAGAAGTTCATTCTTGATGGTCATGATGGCCAGCAATGCTACTGGCACCACTTGGATCATGAGGAACAAGTGTTTTCTCGGCACCAATTTGGGGGTGGATCTGTTGTGGAGTGGGGTGCCATTTCCTCCAAGGACCTTTCCGAGTTGAAGATTAATGAAGACAAGCAAAAGAGCTACGACTATACCGTTACTCTCTCCCACTTCATGCTGCCTTTTGCTCATGAGCATTATGGCCCTGATTTTACGTTCCAGCAAGACAACGCATCCATTCACGTCAGTCGTGAAGCAAAGAAATGGTTTGAAGACAATGATATTGAGGTTATGAAATGTCCCGCTCGTTCGAAAGACCTTAGCCCTATCGAGAACCTCTGGGCCATTCTTGCTTGTCAAGTCTACGGACGATAAGCAGTTTTTGGATCGAATATTCCTTGTGGATGCGATTCAGGATGCTTGGCAAAACATTAACCCTGACATCGCAACTAACCTCATTCAAAGCATGCCAAAGCGTTGCTTGGGCGTCATTGCGAAGAAAGGCAACAAGAAGAAGTACAAAAATCAATGTACATTTGTTTGGAAAACAAAGATATTCTCAAGTGGCCATTCTTTTCTTCACACCAAAAATCAAAGACATTTCCAGAATTTCAACGTTACGCGCATAAAAGTGAAGATGCGCTTTGTTTGGTAGAATGGAGAAGGAATTGGTAGTGTTAATCCTATCTAACGCTACAGCTAAGACAAGCACGCAGTAATCTTAGGGTCGATGCAATGGCCATTACAGGGCGAGGAGCTAGGCTGCCAAAGAGTGCTGGCGAAAGTCGGTGTCGAGAAAACCGGATGTGTCCGGATAGTGTACACGGTTACAAGTCGAGAGTGGCCTCTCCTCTCTCAACAGCGCGCGCTGTATGATGTTCATGAGGAGGTACAGAATGAGTGGACGTCGTGAGGGGTGACACAATCTTGTGCTGGCCTAGCATCCACGTGGCAACTGTGAGCTTGCCGTGCATCTTGTCGCCATTCGAGAGAACGAGGATGCGCAGGATTTGGACAAGAAATGCGCACAGTAGGAACCCCACGGACAGGAAGAAGCAGAGGATGCTGTTGACAATCAGCACGACAGATTGCTAGACAAACGTGTCGGCGGCGAAGAGGAGCCATGGCGGCACAAGCGAATAAAGACTCATCACGAGCGTGAAGATGAATGCTTGGTCGTGATGGACCAGGGACAACCGATATGTCTGATGCGGTTGAAACGCGACGTCGACGGCGTGGAAGAGCGGGACTTGGATCAGCTTTGGGGGGAGGAATTGGTCGAGTCTCTTGAGAAAGGAGTCCAAGGGCATCGTGTGGACGTGGTGTCGAGGCAAAAACGTGTGAACCAAGCCGTACACGTGCACGAGGGCCAAGCACTCGTACACACACACTGTACCACCGGCGGTGCAAACGTGTGGATCGCACTCTGCTGCAACGATCTCGCCCCGATGTACAAGCCACACGTAAAGGTGTAATACAACGCTGAGATCGTGTCCTTTGCTCGCGCAAAGGGCGTGGCGTGAGCTTGACGACCCGAGGCGACCTCCATCGAATGACCGTGTTAAACGGGGACAAGAGACATGGGCTCCAGGAGAGACCAAACAGGAACGACGCGCCCTCCTTTATGCGATCAATATTCTAGATACACAACGAGTCCTCGCTTGTATACACACTCCAATCCGTTTTCACACGTTTGGAAGCCTCATCATGCGAATATGGCACGTACAACATCTTGCCCCCCTTATGCCAACGTTGCGAGCATACCCCTACTGTAACGACTCCGGTACTTTTTGCAGAGGAAAACTGGATCCGGATAGAAAGCCGGATAGCGCGGTGGAGAGGA